CAGAGGGTCGCTAGGGTTCGATTTCAGCATCTCTTCGTAGTACGCTCTGATCTTACTAGATTCACTACTTCCATCCGTAAATTTATCTGTTGCTACAAAATCACCGCCATCGCCGCTTACGATTCCGGAATTGAGAAATTCAGTGTCCGCAACTGAATCACGGTGAAATTCATCCTGGTTCAGAAACTCCTCCTCTGGTATTCCGGAAGGAACGGACCAATATCGAGATCTGAATCCACCGAATTGATCATACGGACTCGAAACCTCGTGGAGTGATCGCGATATGTCGCTCTCCGATGCCGCTCTTCGAATACCACTCCAGTTCTTTCCTCTGCGATGATTGATCTCAAAATGCAGAGAGATCTTCGGAGATGAAATGGAACTATTCTGGCCGGAGAGAGCTCCATACAACGGTTTGTAATTGGAGAAGGACGAAGAAGCGGCGACGGCCGACGAGAGGACGGGAACAGAAACGGTTCTGATGAGAGCGGATTCCATAGCTGCAATTTGCGAAGGTTTTGAAATGGCAGAGTTTTCTTTCGTTTTCCCTTTTTGGGTTTTTCGTTGAGGTGTTTCAATGTGTCGTAATGCATATATATAGGCGAGTTCTCACCGTTGGATTTGGCGATGGAATTAAGCTTTAGATCGTGGGAGATCACGACACGTGTTTAAGTGCACGTGAATTGCTAACGAACAGGCTACTCCGGTGGAGTCGGTTCCTTGTCTTCTTTGTTTTTTTCTTTAAAAAATGTCTATTTTTTCTTAAACTTTTAATTTGTTAAATTACCATTTAAATTTAGATAATATTATAATTTTTTTGTTTATAAATTTTTAATTCGTTAAATTACCCTTCAGATTTAGACCATTGTGATGTCCCTAATTGTTTGGGGAAGAGAACAAAACATCATTTATAAATACGTGCAGACCTTCTCCTAGCAAACGCAAAATCTTGAGGTGAAACTCGAAAAGAAAAATAAAAAAAAGAACAATATTCGCTAGCGGTGGATCTAAACCATTACAAATAGTATCAGAGCTAGACATCGGACGATGTGCCAGTAAGGACGCTGGACCCCGAAGGATGGTGAATTGTGATGTCTCATATTGATTGAAGAGGAGAACAAAACACCATTTATAAGAGTACACAAACCGTTCGTAAATTAATAAATTTATGAATTCTTTTATACGAGTATATATTAAAATCAACCGAAAAAAATAGAAAAAATGTATTGAAAATTAAAAAGTTTAAGACTATTTTTTTTTTTCAACATGTCACAAGAAGGGCGTGATGAGGATGATGCAACGAGGGGTGATGTTAGCACAATTTGGATTCGATGTCCCGTTTTAAGTTAAAAATTAAAATCTTATAAAAAAAAATTAAAATTATAAAATAACACAATTTAATTTTTAAAATTAAACTTAAAACATTAAAATTAAAATTGTAATATGAAAATAAATTTATAATTTGCTAAAAAAGAAATTTTGATGAGTGAAATGAAATTTATAAAATAAAATAATATAAATTTGTAGTAAGATAAAGCAAAGTGGCGCATCTCTTCCCACGTGTGAGATCTCACGTGGTCAACTCTCCTCTTCTGCCATTTGGCACGGTCAAATTATTTTGTTGTATATCTAGATTATTCTAGAATAAGCCTTTTTTAATAATATTCACCGGTAATAATAAATTAACTTTACATTATTATTATTATTATTATTATTATTTAAATTTAAACTATGGTAAGAATAAGAAATGAAACTATATTCTAAAATAATAATGGTAATTTTTATAATGTGATCATTATATATATTTTAATATCAATAACTTTATGTTTAATACTACGATGTAGGTTCATGGAATTTACATTACAAGCTTATATTAAAAAAAGAAATCGTGTCACTTAAACATCGGAAATAATTATTATTTTTCCTTAAAATTTTCAAACCATTCTCTACTTTATCCATTTCATTCCTTCGACATATAGCAATAGTCACGTTCAAATAAAAAAATATTATTTCAATGTTTGTCGTGTGAGACACTATGATATGTCATGTATGAAAGACGTGAATGACATATCACGAATATGGATGTACGTCTCATAAGGAATTTATGTACATCATTTCATTGGACCGTGATTTTCAGCGCGGGATCTCATGCATGTTGTATATTATATGATCATTGACTACTCACCATGATATTATTCGTGTTCTTTTTTTTTTTGCTTTGATTTTCGGTAGCGTGAGTGTCTACGAGCTTGTAGTCAGGTCTAATGCGTACATTAATGAGCCCCTCTAGCGGGTACATGTACGAATATATGAACCGTGTATAGAGAAATACTATGCATTCAATTATGCTCTAAAAGGAAAATAGAGCTCAATGAACAATCATTAGATCCTACCCGTCATGATACATGTATATATGTAAGTGTATTTTCGACTCTAGCCGTGGGGTCTATTACTAACCATTCTAAAATACATTTTTTATGTTTAAGATAAGAACGATAAGAACAATTTTGTCATAAACTTTTCGATGTCCATTTTGTTGGATGAAAGTGTCCCACATTGTTTAATTTAGGGAATGATTATGAGTTTATAATCTAAGAATACACTCTCCAAGACTTTTTGGGGAAGCCCAAAGCAAAGACATGAGAGCTTAGGCTAAAAGTGAACAATATCATACCATCGTAGAGATCGTGTTCGTCTAACATGGTATCAGACCCGTACCCTAAACTTAGCCGTGCCAATAGATTTGACAAATCTTCGAATGTCGAAAAAAGGACTACAAAATGCTATATTATAATATTTAAATTTAAATTTTGAGCAATTAAATTCTCTAATAAATGGCCCCAAGAAATATATAATTTCGGCCTCTCCAATTCGCTAATTCACTCTCTCCCGCCTCTACGAGTGGCTGACCAGACGACGCCCTCTCTGCCGCAGTTCTCCTGTTCTTTCTTGGGGCTGTTGTCAACTCGACGATTATCAGAGTAATTCAACTTTTTCTCTGTTTTTTTTTCATTTACAATTTCTCCACTTGATTCCATGGCTATTGATTGCATAATTTTGTTGAAATCATCCAGATCTACCGTGCTTAACCTTGTAATTTTCCTTCAGAATTCAGTGACAAACTCTAAGGATTCTGTTTGTTAGGTTCCTTTTTATGAATAATTTTCCCGTTTTCTATGTTGCAAAGACACGATTTCCCAATTGGTAACAGCGTCGATTGTTTAGCAACACCGATTGGAATTAACCGTTCTTGATAATTTCGATCGAGGCCGATTTGGATTATGTAAGGTCTAGGGTTATTTAATTTTGTTTATTGTAAGCCAATTTTCGGAGGATCTTTGGTGTTATTCGATTGAACCTGTTCACAATATACCATCTTGATAAACATGTTAAGAATGAGAAACTGTTATCCTGGTATTAGAGTTGGTGAGAAATTTGAAAAATGCTCGTAACATAGTTTTGAATTGGACGATTGAGTTTAGGAGGCTATTGGAATCTTGATAGCTTGCCACAAACATATTGATAATGAATATGTTCTTGATTTTGTTATTATGAGGAAAAATATTGATGATTTGCGGTGCTCAATCAGGATAATCCTGAAGAGAAATTAAAACTTTTGAGATGTGAGCATATATCTTGAGGAAGGTGATCACAATTCATTTGTCGTCCTTTGTTTCGATTTCCGTCACTTTTCTTCTATTCTCTCTTTTGTTGTTTTGATACTATGTTAAGAAGATCCCACTTCTGTTTCTCATTTTTAACACAATCCCACTCCTATTTCTCATTCGTAACAAAACATAGCAAAACGCGGTTAGTGTAGGTTGTGATATTCCCACCTTCAAACTTGAAACATGAAGTTCTGAAGGATTTGATCTGATGAAACCTGAAGTTCTAAGTTAGGTTGATGGATCTGAAGTCTGGAGTAGATCCATTCTAGTTATAACACCTCCAAACTTGAATGCTGTCTTTTTTACTAACCTGTTCCGAGTATGGCGCTGGATTGATTGGTTTTTTCTTTGAAATTATCTTCATTTCTTTGTATTGGGATCTTTAGCACTGTGCTTTCTGCTGCTGAAAAGTTGGGTGCTTATTGCGATAATGATATCTGTAGTTATTCTATCCTGAAACCCATCTCACTTAAGAATCAGAAGAACGGAACGAAATGGAAGCAGAGAACAACCCTTTAACCACCTCAATAGGAGTCACCGGACAACTATCCCAAAGAACAAGAATACCGCTCCTCCTTTGTTTTACTGTAAAGACTTCTAACCAACTGGCGATGACGGTTGGTTTCCACAAGGAGCACAACCACCAGAAATAACATGTATATGTACTGAAGCAGGAGCAGCCCACCCGGAGAGCCAATTCCCATTAACACCCATCAAAGGGAAGACCTGGAAACCTTACAGAGCTAGAAAAGGGAAAAGGGTGCCCACAACCACCCCATACGGATGACCTCCCCAACCACACCAAACGATTGACATTGGAACAAATGCCGTAACTCTTTCTAAAATAAAAAGTAAGGCACTACCGGGAAGGAGTTAAGAAGCATTGGAGCATCAAATTAGGACAAAACTCACTGACCATCCCCTGACGACAAGTTAAAAGAAAAAGGCAAGGGACTTACGAGATCACTTGGATAAAAAGACCCGTTAACTTGGGAGAGGGAAATTCTTGAGGAAGGGAAGAGCTTCCAAGCTCGGGCAATCGGCAATTTCGTTGGTTGTTCTCTCTTTGCAAATCATAAATCATTTTTGGCATTTCAAAGGAGTATAATCTAGTGCTTTACATGTTAATCACCCACCCAGGGGCAATAAAATGCTGATAGGTTAAAGATTCTCACATTATTTCTGTCGTAATGATTCTATGTATGAATTCTTGTTTTGCACTGCCTAGTTCCTATAGTATTGTAACGGTCTAGGCTCATCGCTAATAGATATTGTCCTCTTTGGGCTTTCCCTTTCGAGCTCCCCTCAAGGTTTTTAAAACATGTCTGCTAAGGAGAGGTTTCCACACCTTTATAAAAAATGTTTTGTTCTCCTCTCCAACCGATATGGGATCTCACAATCCACCTCCCTTTAGGGCCCAACGTCTTCGATGACATTCGTTCCCTTCTCTAATCGATGTGGGACTCCTCAATCCCCCCTTCAGAGCCCAACGTCCTTGCTCGCACACCTCCTCGTGTCCATCTCTTTCAGGGTTTAGCCTCCTTGCTAGCACATTGCCCAATGTCTAGCTCTGATATCATTTATAACGGTCGAACTACCGCTAGCAGATATTGTCCTCTGATATCTTTCCCTTAAGGGGACGCGTCTGCTAGGGAGAGGTTTCCACACCTTTATAAAGAATGCATTGTTCCCCTCTCCAACCGATGTGGGATCTCACAATCCACCTCCCTTTGGGGCCCAATGTCCTCGATGGTATTCGTTCCCTTCTCCAATCGATGTGGGACCCCTCACAATCCCCCTCCTTCAGTCCCTACGTCCTTGCTCGCACACCTCCTCGTGTCCACCTCCTTTGGGGTTTAGCCTTCTTGCTAACACATTACCCAGTATTTGACTCTGATATCATTTGTAACGGTTAAAGCCCACCGCTAGCGGATATTGTCCTCTTTGGGCTTTCCCTTGAGAGGATGTTCTACACCCTTATAAAGAATGCTTCGTTCTCCTCTCCAACCGATGTGGGATCTCACAAGTATATTCAGGTTAGAGAAGGAAATCAGAATGATTAGAAAAATGCGGATTGGTTTTGTATAGACGTTTCATATTATGTTACTTGTAGTTGCCAATAAATTAAGCATTTCATATGTTTATGAATTTGTTAAATGGGCCTTGTTGTAATTTCTGTTCAATTTAATTAGTTCATATTATAAATGCGAAATTTATGGTATATTTGTATATATGTTTGTTGATAATGTTTAACCTTATTGTGGTACAGATGTTTGACGATCAAGATCTCGGGTTCTTTTCAAACTTTCTTGGAATCTTTATATTTGTATTGGTAATAGCATATCACTATGTGATGGTTGATCCAAAATATGAGGGCCATTAAATCTTCTCTATGATGGAATTTTTATAGACCGTTATTATATTATGAATAACTCGTTTAGTGGATCATAATGTTATTATCTTTCATAGTATAGAATGTTGTTTGTTTTGTGTTATATTTCGACGTTTTTTTTATATTGTAAGAGGTATTGTAATTAAACTTTTAAAATTACAAATTTATATTATAGTTGAATTTAATAGACGCAAATTTAATAACTTAGTGTTTGATTAGACACACCGATCTTCCTACTATAATGAATAGCTATAGCTTATTTTGTCCCTTTTTTCGTTGTTCATCACTCTCCGTAAAATACAGTCATGAAATTCGATCCGGTCTTAGAATTCTATTCTTTTTCTGGTCATGGAATTCAGATCGATCCTAGAATTCAATCTCCAGTACATTATTGTAGATTATTGTGGTTTATCGGAAAACAGTCATGGAATTCAATCATCCCCAGTACATTATTGTAGATTATTGTGATTTAATTGTGATTTATAGGAAAATAGTGTTTGATTAGATATAGAATAGATGAATTTAATAGATGCAAATTTAAAATTTTATTAGACATAAGATTTAAATTTATATATAATAGATTAATTGATTTTTAGAAATAACTTTTGAATGAACCACTTTTAGAAATTTAGATCCTTTTAAAATTTTGTCACTTTAAAAAATAAAAGATTATTAGATGATACAAAATTGAGAGTTTTAAAAAATTATTAGATATTTTTAAAAATCATGTAACTAAACATAAACGACCAAATTTGGAGATACAAAATGTTTATTGTCATTTAAATTTTTTTATTATTATTTTAAACATTTATCGGCTTAAATATTTTGTATTCAATTTTATTAAAGTTTTTATAAAATTGATATTTTGATAATTTTATAGACATTAACATTTTATTTTTAATTTTAAAAGCGTGGAATATTTATATATATAAATTAAACTTTTATTCGGTTAAAAATATTTATAACTTTATAAATTTTTGATAATCTGAACAAAAAAATGATTACTTTATTTGGTTATAATAAGTGATTATTAATTTAGAGAAAAAAAAACATTTAACTTTTATTTATAAAATTATTCTGAATCTAATTTATTTTAGTTTCGAAGAAATCTCTCCTCTTTTCCTTCCATTGTTATACCTTGTTTTTAGCTCACTTGTTTCTCCTCTTTTTACTTCTGTATTGTTCATAGATTTGTGCGATTTCCTACTAACTTCATCCCTACTATCCCTCTACGATCTGCTACTTGATATTTCCATTTTTGAGAAAATTCTTCCATGGCTGGTCGGTTTAGGAGCTTTCACTGCCCTTTTCTGTGTTCGTCTCTACAATTAGGGTTAATGGCTGGTCGGTTTTGAAGCTTTCAGCTGTTCTTTCGAGGTTGAAGAAACCCATTTCTGCGTTCGTCTCTGCAAATTAGGGTTTTATGTGTGATGATTTGATGATTTTGTAGTTCTTTGGAGGTAACAATTTGTGGATTTTTGTTTATTTTTTTTGGAATGGATTATAGTGGGGGAAACGTAGTCCATGTGATCCCCGGGATGAGTAGCGAGAATTGGCCCGGTGAAGTTTGGGCTACCGAAGAAGAATACAGAGCTTGGAACAATGGCGGTGGTGATGGGTCCATTGATACGCCTTCTAATTCGAGTTATGATCAAAGACAATCCCAAAGCCGATCCGGAAGCGAACCCCCAAACAAGAAATCGAGAAGCTCACAGGATGTTACGTCTTCCAATCGATCAAAAGCGATAGGTAAAATGTTCTTCAAGACCAAACTCTGCTGCAAATTTCGTGCTGGAACCTGCCCTTACATCACGAATTGCAATTTCGCTCATAGCATTGAGGAGCTCCGGCGGCCACCACATAATTGGCAGGTATTAGGATTGGTTCTTCGTTAGTATTTTGGTACGATATTGTCACTTTGAGCTAGAGCTTCCCCTCCCTGAACCGTCTCCCCTTAATCGAGGCTCTACTCCTTTCTCCGGAGCCCTCGAACAAAGTACCCTTTGTTCGCCACATAAGTCATTTTTGACTGCATCTTCCAAGCAAGCAATTTCTTTGTTAGGATTCTCGACATGGCACTCTAATACTATGTTAGAAATCATAACACTCCACCATGGTATGATGTTATCTACTTTGAGTATTGCTTTGGGCTTCCCAAAGGACCTCATATCAATGGGGATGCATTTTTTACTTATAAACTCATGATCATTAGCCAACGTGGGACTCCCTCCCAACCATCTTCAACATTTTGTTCAGTTTAATTTTTAGAATATCAAGAGTTCCTCATTGCAATGAGTGTTGTTAGCAGGAAATTGTGGCGGCACATGAAGAAGAGAAGGTATTTTCAGAGCCGAGGGAGGAATTTCAGATTCCTTCACTTGGGACATCAAATTTTGGTTCAGAGTCGCAGAGGTCATATAAAGGAAGACATTGCAAGAAGTTTTACACAGAGGAGGGCTGTCCATATGGGGATAGTTGTACGTTTCTTCATGATGAGCAGTCAAAGAATCGAGAGAGTGTGGCAATAAGCTTGGGACCTGGTGGCTACAGTGGCGGTGGTGGTGGTGGTGGCGGCGGCGGCGGTGGTGGTTCAGGAAATGGATCCAACAGTAAGCCTTCGAATTGGAAAACAAGGATTTGTAACAAGTGGGAGTTGACAGGATATTGCCCATTTGGAAGCAAATGCCATTTTGCTCATGGAGCTGCTGGTATGTTTTCTTCTATTGTCAATCCTTGTGTTAATGACATAGCTCATTCTTTGCTTTGGGTCTAGGACTCCATCACCATTTTTTCCTGCTTTTTCTACTAAAGATTTACTGATTTAACATGAACATGCTTAAATGTGGAACTTGAATGACACTATAATACTTATGAGATCCCACGTCGGTTGGAGAGGGGAACAAAGCATTCTTTATAAGGGTGTGGAAACCCTTTCCTACCGGATGTGTTCTGAAAAACCTTGAGGGAAATCCGAAAGGGAAAACCCAAAGAGGGCAATATGTGCTAGTAGTGGTCTTAGATTGTTACAAATGATATCAGAGCCAGACACTAGACGGTGTGTCAGCGAGGATGCTAAGTCCCGAAGGGGGTGGACATTGGGCAATGTGCCAGCGAGGATGCTGGGCCTCCATGGGGGGTGGATTGTGAGATCCCATATTGGTTGGAGAGGGGAATAAAACATTCTTTATAAGGGTATGGAAAACTCTTCTTAGCAGACGTGTTTTAAAAACCTTAGGAGAAGCCCGAAAGGGAAAGCCGAAAGAGAACAATATCTGTTAGTGGTAGGGTTAGGTTATTTTGTATCAGAGCCAAACACTGGGCGATGTGCCAGCGAGGAGGCTGAGCTCCAAAGGGGGGTGCACACCAGGCGGTGTGCCCGCGAGTACGTTGGGTCTTGAAGGGGGTGGATTGGGGGGTCCAACATCGATTGGAGAGAGGAACGAGTGCCAACGAGAACGCTGGTTTGGCTGTGGAGATCCCACATCGGTTGGAGAGCGGAATGAAGCATATTCTTTATAAAGGTGTGAAAATCTCTCCCTACCAAATGCGTTTTAAAAACCTCGAGGGGAAATCCGAAAGGGAAGTTTATATTGACGAAGTGTATAAGTTGAGGATCAACATTGTTATGCCATATGCTGATTTGTTGTCATTCTCATGCATATCTAACAATGCTTCCATTCTTTCCCATGATGTTTCGTGCTTTTATTTCTTTGAATTACTACTGATATTTATCTGAACGTCGATATAGCCATATAGACTGAGTTGGTTACTTGATTAGACCGATAAACATAAGAACGTTGTCACATTGTCGTGTCCCGTTGAACAAAACGGATGTTGAACGATCTGTTTAGTTTGTGGTTTAGATTTAATACTTTGAATTAACCACAGAATTACACCGTTATGGTGGTGGGCTTATGGAGACAGAAACTAGAGACTCTTCATCTGCTCCTCCTGACCTGAAGCAGGGTGTATTGCCTAAAGCTCCTGGCGATACTCTGGTTGCTTCTGTTCCTTCAGTACCTCATTCAGATGTTTATCATATTGTGGTTCCATCACAGAGGTCAACCATTGTAATTCAGAGGTCGGGTCAGCGACCTCATCAGAAATGGAAGGGCCCCGATAAAATCAGTCGGATATATGGTGACTGGATTGACGATATCGAATAATATCATATCCAAGAATTCGTTGAACGTGAATAACAAGCATCATGATGGACTTGGTCTCTTGTAAACCTTTGGCAGATGAAGATTCTGTTTGTTCGGGTTAAGTTTCGGTTGGTTCTTTTCGTATTCTCGTTCCTAACCCGCTTCACGTCCGATTATGGTCTTTATCTGTTAGTGTTGTTGTTTATGTAGTTACTATATGTAATCCTTTTCATTGAGAGATGAGAGAAATGTATGATTTTCACCACCACCTCAGTTCATCATTGAGTAATTCTTCTGTGTTGTGTTCTGGGAAGTCTTCAATCTTTATGTAATGGAAACAGGAACACGAGTCCTTCAAATGAGGCCGGGGTTGGGTTGATGGATGAGTGTCATGGTCATGCTTGTCCAAGACATGTTGTCTATGAGCACATGTCCGTTTCAAACCTCTTTTTACTTAGGTTCATAGTAGATAGGTCTACTATTATTGTTGTGTCAATTTGGGGTGTATGACCGTTCACCAAAATTACATCTACACCCGCTAGGACTAAAATGCCCTAAAATGTATTATAGGTGATATGACCCATTCTCTCTTCCTATGCTATCAAAGCCGCCGCCGTTGTCTAATTGCTTTTGGCTCATGATATATATATTTTTTCAAATTGTTTTCAACGTATTTCTTTGCTTGCATTTTCTAAAAACATTTCTCTCAGATGTGACTCGAGGCTCAAACATATGCAGATGTTCGCAAAGTCTGAATTTCTCACGGTTGACTTGTTCACTGGGTTAGTACAAATGTTACACAATCGTTGTTCTATTGTTGCAAGAGTGCGACTATTATTTGATTCTCAAGTTTCTAAAACAAGTTGAGTGCTTTTTTGCGTCGAGGATACCCCGTGAGAGAGAAAGAAAGAAAATACGTGCATTGTCAAATTTCTAGAAATGAAGATTTTTTTTATTATTTTTGTAGTTCAAATCTGTGTTATAGCTAGGTCAAATGGTTCCCTAACGATCGAAGGTGATATTTATATTTGATACTCATCAATTTGCTTAGTTTCAATAGAAAATTTTGATATTGATACGACTTAAGATTTTGTGAGTGTTGATACTTTAACTCAAACTTTTCGGATTTTGCTTGGTTGTTGAGAAAATTGGCATAAAAGTTGAACAAACGAGAGAAAAGACATATTTACAGAAGTTGGTTCTTTTCTAACTAAAGATAACTTCAAACAGATTGATCGTTGAGTCTTAAAATTTCAAACAAAACATGCAATACCCAAAATACACAAACAAGATCAATGCCCTGAGATGGCCCCCCGTAGCTCTCAAGCATTCTCCCACCTCGTCATCCAAAATAAAATACTCGCTCAGAGAGACACTTCAAAATTTCGAGTAGTGCCCACGACGACACCTGCCGAGTATTAATAAAATTTTGAAAAGTGAGGAGGGATATAATTGAAACACGAAGTGTTGGGTCATCCCATGGAATGAGGAGAGAAAGAAGGATTGAGTGTTGGTCACAAAGAAAGTGTATAAAAGGGTTAGTCCTAATTATGGAAATGGCTATGTGGAAGGTGTTAGCCATCTCCATCTCCATTAACCTTAAACCATAGCAAGCGACGAGAACGAGTCATTGCGAGAAGAAGAAGGAGCATGAAGAAACACCATCATGAGTTCCCTTATTAATTCTCCTCCTCCTCCTCCGCCGCCGTCTCCTCCGCCGCCATCTCCTCCTTCCTCCTCCTCCTTCCTCCTCCATGTCTTTTTCCGGCCAATGTCCACCGATTTCCCCCACTCTTCTTTCTCCCCTGAAGAACACTCCACTCCTCCTCTCACCATTATCCTCACTCTCATCCTCCTCGCCTTCCTCCTCGTCGGCTTCTTCTCCATCTACTTCTGCCGCTGCATCATGGACTCCCTCCTCCACTCCCGCAACCTCCGCCGCTCCCCATCCGGCAATATCCTCCACCCGTCCGCCGATTCCCCCACCGTCCCTCCCGGCCTCGACCCACTTCTCATAAACACCTTCCCCACCTTCCCATATTCCGGCATCAAGGAATTTCGCAGCGACAAATTCGGATTAGAATGCGCCATTTGCTTACTTGAATTCGACGACGACAGCTTCCTTCGCCTCCTCACTGTCTGCTGCCATGTCTTCCATCAAGAATGCATTGATCTCTGGCTTGAATCCCACAAAACCTGCCCTGTTTGTCGCCGGAATCTTGACTCCGATTCCACCAGAAACTCCGCCGATAAGCCCCCTGATTCCGATCATGACAACCCACCACGCAGTACCCATCATGAATCAATCGAAGATGCTATTAGTATTGACATTGACGACGACGTCGACGACGATGACAACGCCGACGCCGACGACGACGACGATCGCCGGTCTGGTTCGAACAGAGGAAAACAGAGTATAAAAATAGAGGAGGCGGAGGACGACGGTATCAAGAAATTCTCGAGGTGCCATTCGACGGGGCATTCGATTTTGAAGGCGAGAAGGGAAGATGATGATCGGTATAAGTTGAGATTGCCGGAACATGTAAAGATTAAGATGATTAGAGGGCATAATTGGACGGGGAGTTGTGTGACTTTTGATGAATTCTTACGAAATCCTGGGAATGCTGGTGGGTTCTCGGAGCTATCTGAATCTGATGATCGAATTGATCTGCAGAAGCCGCCATGATTGAGTTTCTTGAGTTTAATTCTTCTCTTTCTCTCTATCAGTTTTGATTTGATGTATTGAGTTTTGTATCCATTAAAGAGTTTTGATTCGTTTTCTTTACAACAGGGTAGTCGTTTTTTGTTTAGGTTCTTTATCGATTGCTCTAGAAGATTACAAAAATTATTCAATGAGATTTGAATCTTTTTGTTTAGGTTATTTATTGATTTTCTAATCCTACGGGATATAAGCTCTAGTGACTTTCTTCATAATTTAGTAATCTTCTTCATCTTCGTCCCTACTTTCAGTTTTACAAAAATTTTGTTTAGTTCGAGTGTGTGTATGGATGAGAGATGTTTAGTGCCCATTTAGCTAATCGGGAAAATTTCTCCGACCCCTTTTCTAATTCTTGTTTAAACGAAGTTTTCTTGCTCTGTTTGAGATAAGTTTACGTGAAATTCAAACTTTGGGGTTAAATAGACATTTCTACTTCTAACCGAGAGGGATGTGTGTGTGGATAGGAGATGCCCACGAGATCTATTTAGCTAATGGGGGAAAATCTTTCATACCCCCTTCTCTATTTCTTGTTTAAACGAAGATTTCTTGCTCCATTCAAGATAGGTTTATGTAAAATTTCAACTTTGAGTTAAAATGTGCATTTCTACTTTTAACCTATGGGGATGTGTGTACGGACAAGAGATGTCCACGAGGCCCATCTCTCCTACCCCACTTCACTATTTCTTGTTTAAACGAAGATTCCTTGAGGCCCATCTCTCCTACCCCACTTCTCTATTTCTTGTTTAAACGAAGATTCCTTGCTCTATTCGAGATAGGTTTACGTGAAATTTCAATTTTGGAGTTAAATGAACATTTCTAATTCTAACTCACAGAGATGTATGTATGGACAAGATATGTCTACGAGACCCATTTAACTAACGAGAAAAAATCTCACCTATCTCCTTCTCTATTTCTTATTTAAACGAGGATTCCTGGGTCCGTTCGAGTTCGAGATAGATGTAAGTGGAGTTGGAGTTGGATGAGGAGTGGTAGAGTAGAGGCCCATAAACCCAAAGCCCACCCTTGTGGAAAAACATGTCAGTTCCAAATTCAAAAATAATAATAATAATAAATAAATAAAATATTAGAATGGAAACTAATGGTCCCATTTCCCATAACATGCAACTTCCTAATTCCGACCACTTGTCATTCTCTTATGTTCCAAATTTCCTCAATTTATTTTTTTAATTTTATTTATTATTATTCTTTTCCACTATATTACAAAATTACAGCTCATTCACTCATCTCTCCATTTTCTTTCTATTAAATATTAATTTTTTTACCGACTTACCCACATTTTTACCGTAGGTATCATATTTGACCATAGATCATACGGTAATATCATTTCATATATCTGGTTATTTCTCTTTCTATTTTCTTTACCATCTATTTGATTCGGTAAATGATTATAAATACATTATTTTTAGTTTCAACAAATATTATCATGATATTAGAAGAATATTTAATATGATAAAGAAAGGAAGCAAGGTCCAATGAGAAAAATAATGGTACTTTTTCCGAAGCTGATGGGTCACATGGATTAGGGTGGAGAAGAGGCTGACACATTGGACCACACTTTCAAGTTTCAACTTCAAATCCCTTTTCTTTCTCTCTCTACCCAAAAATTCTCTCTTTCTCTCTCTTGTTCATCATTAATGAACACACATCTATGATCATAAAGTAGTCTCTCTACTTTTTAATTTATGATTTTGGGTTTTAATTCATTATTAGTTTCTTTCAAGGGTCCAATCGAGTGTAATTTGGAAGATAAAAGGGATCTGTTAAATTCTCACTCGTACAATGATTGAACTTAAATGGACGAAAAATACTCATTCGAAAGGAATTAAGACACATATTTTAGTTTTAATTTGAATAATTTTGAGTATATTGTAAGTTTTTTAAATAAAATAAGTGAGAGTATTAACATTTGAACTTTCGTGTCAGTTGAATTGGTGGTAAAAATAGGTGTAACCTAGCTAGAAAACTATTTCTCACGAGTATCATGCCTCTTTAGAATGATCCAAAGGCAATATCTATGTGTCCCGAAGGCACTTTGAAGACATTACTTCATTTTCAATAAACGTGAGCATGTAATATGGCAATGATTCATATCATAAACTCGTATGTGTTTGAACTCGGGATTTGGCCTATTTTCTTGTGTCCATGGTAAGCATCTAAACCCTAAAGATAAAATGGATTGAGAGGTAAGGGAGATGGGTAAGTGCAACAACTCAATCCCACCGCTAGTAAATTTGTACTAGTTGAGCTTTTTCTCAAGCTTTTTAAAACGCTTCTGCTAGGAAGAAGTTTCTACACCCTTATAAAGAATGTTTTATTATACTCCCTAACTGATGTGGGATCTCACAATCCCACCCCTATTCGGAGCCCAGCGAGTTCGTTCTCCTCCCCAACTGATGTGGGATCTCACAATCCGTCATCTTTAGGGTCCAACGTCCTCGTTGGCACTCGTTCCTCTCCAATCAATGTGGGATATCACAATCCACTCCTCTTCGGCACCCAACGTCCTTGTTGGCACACTGCCTCGTGTCCACCCTCTTCGAGGCCCAATATCCTCGGCTCTGATACCATTTATAACAGCCGAAGCCCACCGCTAGTAGATATTGTCTTCTTTAGGCTTTCGCTAAATGTTTTTAAAACGCGTTTACTAAGGAGAGATTTTCACACTCTTATAAAGAGTGTTTTGTTCTCCTCTCCAACCGATACGAGATCTCACACAAAGGATCGAAGAAATTGCATTAGTTTAGGTAAACGGAGGTAAGATCATCTGAAACACAGCTTTTGCTAACTTGTCTCTATGCTCATTTCTACATGGATCATTTGGTCCCCTTGGTCCTTTCTTTCTCTCTCTCTTCTGTACAAACTGTTCCAATGTTTTGGCAGTTTCTATGATGATATCAAGGACTAGAGAAGAACTATATGAAGCAATCCAATTCTGCCCCTCTCACGTGCACCTTATATACCTCTTTCCTTTTACATTACCCTTTCAACAATTCCTACACCTCTCTTCACATTCATCCCTTCTCTCCCTATCTTTCTTCAACACAATTCCTAACCAAAAACCAAAAAAAATGAGTCTTGATGCTCTTTCTTCCAATGACTTCTTCAACTTCATCATCTACGACACCATCTCTGCTATCCCCAACACCTCCCTCGTCTTCCACGACTCATCGGAGAACACATTTTTCTCCGATGACACATGTTCGAGACATCAAGATCACCAACATGGGTTTGAAGGCTGCTTGAAACCCAATAGAAAACGTCGTCCGAGTGAGTCGGAAAGCCTCCGGACGGCGCCAACACGACAAGGGAAGAAGAAGAGGAAGAGAAAACCAAGGGTTTCTAAGAACAAAGAGGAAGCTGAAACACAAAGAATGACACACATTGCTGTTGAAAGGAACCGCCGCAAACAGATGAATGAGCATCTTTCAGTGTTACGTTCACTCATGCCCGAATCCTATGTTCAAAGGGTTTGTTTTCTTCTATTTGTCTCTTTCATTACTAAAATTTGGACCCCATTTCTGAGATTTGATTAAACTTCATAATTATGCCATTAAACTCCTACCCACCTTCTTCTTTTGCTCATATTTTCGTTACTAATCTCAATTATTTAGCCTAAACATAGAATTCAATTATTACTGCTAAAAATTGACCTCTTCTCCTAACCCTATTCATAATTGCATGGCTTGGCTACATTTTTGTTCAAGAACTTCAAAAAATGACAGATTCATAGGAAGCAGAGTTTGTAAGGCCCTAAAATATGATACGTACCTTTTTGATAGCATTCTTTCATTAACTGATATCAGTTTTATGTGATGAACATATGAAGGGTGACCAAGCATCCATAGTAGGAGGAGCGGTTGAGTTTGTGAAGGAATTGGAGCATCTTCTATCAACTTTGGAAGCCAAGAAGCTGCAAGTTTTACAGAAAGAAGTTGATCATCAAGAACAAGAGATTAATGATAATAAGTTGTTTTCATTTGGAAGTTTGTTGATGAATAATTCAGATCATAATTATTGTTCCCAATACTCTACCAAATACACATCTAAATCCAAGGCTTCTTCAGCTGATATTGAAGTTACTTTGATTGAAACTCATGCAAACCTTAGAATCCTATCAACAAGAAGCCATAGACAGCTCTTGAAGCTCATTGCTGGTTTGCAGGCTCTTCGTCTCACCATTCTTCATCTCAGTCTTACTGATTTTCATCCAGTGGTTCTTTACTCCATCAGCCTCAAGGTACTTACTTACCTAATGTTTCGAACTTTGTTGTGAGATCCCACGTCGGTTGGAGAGGGGAACGAAACATTTTTTATAAGGGTGTGGAAACCTCTTTCTAGCAGATGCGTTTTAAAAACCTTGAGGGAAAGCTCAAAGAGGACAATATCTACTAGCGGTGGGCTCTGATACCATTAGATCCCACATTGGTTGGAGAAGGGTACGAAACGTTCCTTATAAGGGTGTGGAAACCTCTCCCTAGTAGACGCGTTTTAAAACCTTGAGGGGAAGCCCAGAATGGAAAGTCCAAAAAGAACAATATCTGCTAACGGTGGACTTGGGCTGTTACAAATGGGATCAGAGTCATGCATCGAGCAGTGTGTCAGCGAAGGCACTGGGCCCCAAGGGGGGTGGATTGTGAGATCCCATATCAGTTGAAGAGGGGAACGAAACATTCCTTATAAGGGTGTGAAAACTTCTCTCTAGTAGACGTGTTTTAAAAACCTTGAGGGAAGCCCGAAAGGAAAAGTTCAAAAGAGGACAATATTTGCTAGCGGTGGGCTTGGGCCGTTACACTTATCAAATTTTTCATCCTCTAATTACCATTTTATAGCCGTCTCTAAACTTTCAAAATGGTCTAGATACGAAACTTCTTTATCAAAATGGAATAAGTCAAAGTTCAAAGTCGGAGTTCGGGGCAAGAATGAAGATTAAACTTATGACGTTTTGATGAAACAATGAAAATGCAGGTTGAAGAAGGATGCCAACTGAGATCAGTAGATGACATAGCAGCAGCAGCACATCATATGGTGAGAATAATTGAGGAAGAAACTATGTTATGTTAAAATGTAAACAATTCAAAAGCCAAAACAAAGAAAGAGAAGAGATAAGAGCATTGAAATGGAATCAGCCATTAAAATGCCAAGTTCACTGTGTGTGTGCATGTGGCTTGGTTTGATGTAATTAGTAAATGAATGTGTTTTTATGTAAGATGATATTGTTTTGTAGCTTTCAAGGGTTTGTCTTATTTGCTTTAGTTTCTCTTTTTTCTTGAGACCACAGACAAGAAGAGAGTGACAGATGAGAAGAAAAAGTTGTCGAAGGGATTGGTTTTGGATTCATCATTATCTTCCTGTGCAATTTCCTCTCCCTTCCCTTCCCATTTTCATGCCTCCTTTCATCATCCAAATTTAGTTAGGGTTCTTGATGACCCACAATGCCAAATAGTGAGTAACTTTCCTTTTGGGAAGGTAAGAAGTCAATGTCCAAGATAAAGAGAGGTAATTGAAACGAGAGATTTGTTTAGAAAACGATGATCAGGACGGTTTAGAGAGCAACACCACGTGCCGTGGTTATACCTTATTCCATCTATAGTCATTTAAGTTCGGGGTCTACAATGTCGTCTCATTTTAGTAAGCTGTCAACTATTCGGACTCATCTCTTCGTAACTTTGTTCATTGGGTTTTAAACACTTAGAAAACCAATCTGATGAACAATCATGTAAGCACATAATCTATCTGGTTGAACTATGCTAGAAAGAATAAGTTAGGTACGGTTGTGTAACAGCTCAAGCCCCCCGCTAGCAGATATTGTCCGCTTTGGCCCGTTACATATCGCCGTCAGCCTCACGGTTTTAAAACGCATCTACCAGGGAGAGGTTTCCACATCCTTATAAGGAATGTTTCGTTTTTCTCTCCAACGAATGTGAGATCTCACAATTCACTCCCCTTGAGAGTCACTAGCACACCACCTAGTGTCTAGCTCTGATACCATTTGTAAAAGTCCAAGCCCACTGCTAATAAATATTGTTCGCTTTAATCCGTTACGTATCGCCGTCAGCCTCACAATTTTAAAACGCGTCTACCAGGGGAGGTTTCTACACCCTAATAAAAAAATGTTTCGTTTGTTTCTCTCTCCAGCTGAGGTGGGATCTCGAAATTTTGAAAATCTCAACCACATGAACACTAAGTTTTTTGAGTAGCTAGCTGCTTCTAAAACTTATCAAAACATTAAAAAACTGGTAATAAAATAGATGTACTTACAAACAAATCTTGTAGAAGGGCGTACAGGTTCATATGGGGCATCTTGAAGATGCTGATGAGAATCATGAGAGAGCAATCCCTTTCCTTGTCATATGGACCCCTGTGTGCTACAATTATTGGGAAAAAGAAGTGACATGCAAACTTTTTGGCATTGAACAGAGAAAAAGGCTGCAGCTAAAAGGGTTTATTTAAATTGTGCCATTCGATGCACAGTTTTGTTTCTATATACACACCACTCTGTATTCTCATCAATTCAGAAAAACCAAAATTTAACAAAGAAGCCAAAATCTCCCAGAAAAACTCCAAAAGTTTAGAGAGAGACAGAGAGAGATGTCTTATAATCTTCATAGAAGCAATGAAAAGGCAGTCAAATAATTGATGGAAGAAGAAAAGTACTGGTGCATCAGACATATTTGTGACAGTTTAATGATGCAACAAAAGCCATGGATGATCTTCACTAAAACCCATAACCAACCATAAAGCAGCTAAACCAAGAACATGGTATAATGTTCATTCCATAAAATCTCTGTTGTGGTTCCTCCTGATTCCGTGTTGTAAGTTTCAGACACGGGCGATTTCCCAGTGTTCTTTTCCATGCCTAATGAGAGAAAATCTTCCACTTGAAAACGATCTCTTAATCGAAACAGGACTCATAACACAATGCAGGATTGTTTTTCTGTGGCTGGACTTGCTGTCTTCTCCCACTGAACATTTGGATGATCCAACATCACCTGAACTTCCTGCTTCATACTCGTCGTCATTTAGATGTAGAACATCTGCAATAATGATATGATTTTGGCTGCAATGATCCATTGAAATGGACCTTCTAATTTGCTGCAATTCGCCGTCTCTAAGCTCAATGACCGTGTCTCTTTTCTCCGGTACTCCGAGGTCACTGAAGGCACGAACCGTGGTCTTCCCACAATCACTTCTCAAACTCCGTTCTGAATCTTGTGAAACAGCCTCAGGGTCATGTGTCTGAGAAGTCTCTGGCATGGTCTCATTAGTTATGGGATATGCATTGCTTGCAGGAAGGTGAACAGGAGGAGAAGCATCGACAGAGACGATATTAGCACGACATAACGGGCAATTGGAGTGTGATTTGAGCCAAGTATCAATACATTGAAGATGAAAAGCATGGCTGCATTTAGGCAACAACCTAAGGCTATCATCTTCTTGAAACTCACTAAGACAAACAGAGCAATCAGAGCCTTCAACCAACCCATCTCCTCTCTTGTACTTGCAAACCGTAATGGACTTAACCATTGCCTCATCCAAGCCATTTGTGGCAACATGCCATGGTTCATGAAGTGTTGGGTTATGATTATCTTCAAATTCCTCATTTGGGTCATGATTTCCAGTTCCAAACAAGCGATTTGTGTTGCCACAATACTTTGAAATGATGGTGTAATAGCTTAAAAGAAGGAAAGCACTTGCTAGAATTCCAATAATTGCTATAACAAGAGGTGAAAAATTTGGGGATGAATCATCATCAGGAAACTCCAAGGGTGGTGGAGGTGACAACATGATGTAGCACCATTGAGGACAATATACACTACAAAAACCTTGAGAGCAATCTTTGTTGCTCATATAAGGTATCCAAGTCTTAGGGCTGCCATAAGACCCCATCAATATTCTAAGAGGCCCAGATATCAGTTTTTTCAAATCCCTCCAATGCAACAGGAGAGAATTCCAAAGAAATGGGTGATTTCTAGCTAATTAGATCACACGGTTACCCGGAAGCCACCAATTGGCCATTGCGGCATTTCATCAAACAGTTGGTGGGCGTAGACAACACAAAAAGGTGTTTAGCATGAAAATCGAAGCAAAAAACACAATATTACCTGAAAATCGCACTCCAATTGAACAGCCCTCAAAAAATGATGGAAACAAATAAGCAGAACATAAAATTGTGCACTTAACTCCAACAATTCTTGCAATGGAAAAGGGTGTTTGAAGGAAGAAAGAAATGGGAAAAGAAAGCAGAGCAGAAGAACTGCGAAGAAGTAGGAAGAAGAGAGGATAATCTAAATGGGTAATCTTCAATATTTCTCTTTTTCTTTTTCTTGTTCTTCATTATCTTTTCCTTTTTCTGTGGCTTGCTTTTGGGAAGAACAGTTTGTTGACTAAGATGAAGTTGCTGGTGCAGGAATTTATTGAAGTAATCAATGCTTTTTGGTATGGTTGAAGCTCAATTGTGACGCCAAATGATCCATCTCCTATCACTAAGAGTTATACATGGGCCCGGGCGGAGAAGGAAATCAGTCTCATCTGGGTTCCACGAACCACCATTACAACGACTCTCCTTATATGATATTGTCCACTCTGAACATAAGTCCTAATGATTTTACTTTCCACTCCGATACAAATAGAGAGAGTATTCTTAGTTTATAAACTCATGATCATTCTTAAATTAGCTTGTGATTTTCATCATCCAACACCCACCGACACCTATTTCATTTTCTATTTATTTTGGTGGAGATGGAGGCGAGGTTCTGTAAATTTGCTGGCGAGGATCGAGATTTTTAGTTTAAATATTATTACTAGACTGTCAAAACTAACTCATTTTTTTTTAATATAACAATATATA